CCCCAAAACCCCAAAACCCCAAAACCCCAAAACCCCTAAGTTTCATTATTTTTGAAAAACTCTTAAAATATTAATTTACAAGATGAAGAAGAGCAAGACTTCTAAATCTGATCAAGGTGTGGCTGAGAAAGACTTTGAAGAGCAGTAGGATAAATATTGTTTAAACTATAGATCGATCTCTGGGTCCTTGGTAAGCATCTAATTTAGTATTCCCATCAGCTTGGCTCTGTGGCCTTGGTGATCATTTAGACATATATAGAAATAAATCTAGCACTCTTAGATACTTCGGTTAAAAAATTATGGGTTTTCTTATTTTTATCGTTTTAGCTGGATAAATGGATCACACTGCCGATGGGCATCCTGACTTTACTTGTTGCAGGGTCAGTATTGAATCTGATAGGCTACTTCTTAGCATTAAAGGATGAACTTTGGCTTAATCCAAGAGAGCAAGAGTTTATCAGATGGGGAGCCGCTATAGGCTACTATGCAGGAGTCCTAGCAGGCCCTTTATTAAGATCAGTCGGTACTAAACTAGCATTCATCGTTTCAGCTGTAGTATCCTTAATTGGTTTTACCATTCTTGGATTCTACACAGATGATAATTACATTGGAACTGCCAGTTCAGTTATAATCGTAATTCTACTAGCAATGGTGTCATTTTGAGGATGTATAGCTACTCTTGCATCTGTATCAATAATTTTGAAGAACTTTCCAAAGGCGACCACTCCCATATTAGTATCATTACTGATCACTTACTATATGATAGCACCATATTTTGAGAAATGCATCAGGAGTGGCTTCCTGCATGAATACTCTTTCAAGGCGACATTGATTATCTGTGGGGTTATCCAATTCGTCACTTACATAGTAGCAGCATTCAGCATGAAAGAAGTCGAATTCAGTGTGAGAATGCTCAAGGCATGCAGTAGTGTGGACCGGATTGGTGTAGTCATATTCATTGTAATTGAAGGAATCTTTATCGGTGTCATATACTTCTCCTGTATTGTAGCTAACAAATGGAGGTCTGGAGCCTACCAAATGGTTGTTCTCAATGTCGCCAACTTTGGAGCAATGTGATTCTGTGTCTTTCTACTGAAAAAGAGAATCCAGACGCTTGATTTAGATGACGTTGTAGTTGACATTTACCATAAAGACCAAGACTTAAAGACAACATTCAAAGATGTTTCCTTCTATATTCTAATGATAGGGACTTTTATAGTTGTTGGTTCATGAACTGCATTTCAACTTGAAGCTCCTACTGTAGCATTTGCAATGGGAGTCCCTGAGCTTGGAATCCATGCAACCAAAGCTTTCTGGGTCAGTGATGTAATTGCCCGTTTCTTAGGAGGAATCTTAGCAGCACTATTTTCCATTTTCATCAACAGATATATTTTAGCAGGCTTAATTTCTTTCTGAGGAATGATTGGATTTATATTCGCACTCCTAAGTCAACCTGTAGGAGCAACTTTTTTCTATATTTCAGCCTTTGTCATTGGAGGATCAGTAGGTGCCTTCTGGGTAATTGTTCCTTTGATCATCTATCAAGAGAAAGGAGTTAGAAACTTTGAGATCCTATGGGGGATCGTCATAACAATTAATGTTCTAGGTGTCCTAGTCTTTGATAAAACATTTATGTGGGTTGGAGACAAAGAAGAACCTTACGAAATCGGCTTTTGTGAAGGATATAGTTGATATCTCCCTTCCTTCATCATAGCAGCACTCTTATGAGGCTTTTCAGGCTTACTCTGAATGCTACATCATTTTGGAATGATAGGAAACCCAGAGTAGAACACATTTAGTCAAGAAAGCAGTCCTTCTGTTGAAAATTTAAATGAAAAAGCTTTCAATAAGATTGTTTCAAATAGGGGTTTTGGGGTTTTGGGGTTTTGGGGTTTTGGGG